CACCTGGCTCCACTGACTCGAAAGGCTTCTCGCTTAAAGGCATAAGAGAAAGATAGGTATCCTATGTTACTACGTTCGCCACCGACCCGGAGTTTAAAAATAATGATAATAATAATAATACCCCTACAGCTACAGTTCTCCGACTCGCCTCAATCTATCAGGCGCCTGAGTGGTGTATTGCATCGTTATAACCCGGCTTGTGTGATCAGCCAGAAGGGACAATAAGCTGCAGGAAGCAACCACAGAGTGACAGACGCATACTCGTGCCTCCATAAAAGACTCGCTTACGAAACAGGTTCGAAGATATTACTTCATCTTGTCTGTCTGTTTGACAAACATTCCTGAGGCCAAGTTTGCTTATTCCTTTCATTGTATCCGGATGAGATTTAATTATATGACATGACAGCTGGTAGCTGGATACACACAATGGAAACGATCTAAGCAAATCACAGTTTGAAGTCGAGCAGGAAGACATTCGAATCAACCTCAGAGTATATAATTTTGGAACATCTTGGACAAACTCCGGGACATCGGTCCAATGTACTTGTAATACCCTCGCCATAAACAATGCATACCTCACCACTACCGTATCCTAGGCGGAAACTCATCATCTCCTGGCTCTTGAGTTATGATGAATTGCTGGCTAGGCGACCTCTTATAGGGCTGTAATTTTAACTCGGCATTCCCTGTGGCATTGTTCCGTTCGATTGTCCAGGCTAGTCTTTCCCCCGGATTTGGAGTTTCAAGAGAGATTAGATAGCTGACATCTCCGTCGGTTTCAACGTCGAATAGCGAAGGGGGGTAGCCATAAGTTCGGGGTGCTGTTGCAGATTGTCCAGCTACATAATTTTGGAAGCGGACCCAGTAAATGATATCCAGTTCGTATTTTTGTCTTGCTCGGAAACAGTGCCAGTTATGGGCTCCTTGAGTTACTGGATGATCAGTCCAATGCCTATAGAAGCTGCCTCTCTCAAATTCGACGGCACCGGTGTCGGAATTGTGTGTGAGATTCAATCCATATTGCTTGCTGGTAATGAGAGTGTACAGCTTTGGGGACTGCGCCGAAACACTAGCTGCGAATGCACAGAGAGTAGCAATAGCTAATGATAACAATTGCATTTTTGCTGGTGTGAGATTGTTGATTTGGGATAATGTATAAGTAACTATTGCTGAAGTATGCCGATAAGTGAGAGCAATGTGCATTTATAGCCAAGTTGTATATGTACGACAAGACAAACTGTGGCTCTATCCGGATTCCCGTATATATCCATACCCTCCTCAACTAGCCTCGTGTGAGTTTCTCTAACCGGCTGTCATGGACAACTAATCTAGTGCATATACGACTTTGGAAGAGATTTGAGTTTCTTACTTTGCCCCTGCTTACAAGGATTTAATACAGATATGAGACATTCTTTCCAGAGTCATCGCCCTTGACCTACATCCAAAATAGGTAAGTATGATTACATTCAACTTGCAAATTATATACAGGCTCCGTGTGTGTTTTGTCTTATCGTACTGTTTTTCTTGGTAGTGATATAACTTAGAGTTTAAACAAGCTGAAAGTAAGAACTTGTATAATTTAGGAAGTGCTGCATGGCCCTTCTTACTACTTGATCCGATGGTGCTGCAAGTAAGATTTTAGTCTGGCATTTCTCAAGATGTACATAGCGATGATATTCCCTCTTCTATCCGAGCCAGGTGGCAGGAACTGATGTTCTTTATGCCGCAATTGCAATAAGATGATATACTTTTGACATATCTGACATCTTACAGCACAGTGGGGATCACACACCGGATAATGTCGAGACGGTTACCTAAGGGATGGCATAGCTAAGGTCCGACTTATCCGCTTTATAATACTTGTCGAGTGAGCAGATAACTTAGAAATCTCCTCCATTATAGACCTGACACCCTCCTCTCGTTGCCAACATCATATGTCCCGTCGTACCTTTCCCATCGAGCATCACAGTACTGTGTCTAGGGGCAATCTATAAAATTTGGATTGAAATTCAGTTCTCTATTTCACAATGATTTTTATTTCTACCGTTTTATTCCTCCTCCTTGCCTGCAGGCCCGCCACGGCAATTAACGTTACCTACTACATCGAACAACCTTTGAACACTTCATTCACTGTTTATGACGACTTCAATGGTCATATTCTCGGCCTTGGTGTTGGCGGTGATGGATTACTTGAAGTTCAACCAAACTCCACTACACGATGGCATTTTGAGCAAATTTTTGACTTCAACTACATAATCCGCGAAAGCAACAGCAACAGATACATTCATGTCCCCGATCCAAAACTTGGCTCACTTGCCACTGTAAGCGAAACAGCGGCGACTGTCATTGATCCAACAGTATATGACAATGCCCAATATAAGTTTTACATACGCCACGAAGGACCAGGACTGTTTTTCACTGTGGAACGTCACAGTACTGAACAACCAAACCGCTATGTGATCAAACTCCGAGAAAACACAGACGGAAAGCGACAGAATTTCACCTTCATCAAACCTCCAAAGAAGAGCAATTAAATAGGAGCCGAGCAACAATGTGAAGAATCAAACGCCACGGCCTAAGAGTAGCGGTGGTTGGAGGTGGGGTTGCACTCAGGCAACGAGCAGTGGGTGGGATGCCCTCTATAACTCAATTGTACCTACAAGATTGATGGATTATAGAAAGAAATCCCATGAGAACATTAGAATTTAACCATAAACTGCTGGTCCAAAAAGAACCTTTGTTCATGTAGAGAAAAAACTCAATGTAATTACGTGACGTTCCCTGTTCCCTGGATCTACAGCTGGGGAGCCATGTCGACTTTGTGCATGGCAGGTGGTAAACATAAGGTTAAGCTTTGCTGGGATATCGGAAGGAGCAAGGGCCATGTTCTATTTTTGTGGGTAATTTCATTAGTCATCACCTTATTCCAGCCTCAAAAGGGGCAAAAGAGTGCAACAAGTCTTGGCGAGGGACCTGGAAGAGGAAATATAATATTACTCTTAAAGGTGCCATTGCATCGAAAATACATGATAGGGGCAGGTTTGTTGGACATGGACATTAAAAGAAAAGGCCTGTTAACTATCGAAAGATTGATCAAGGAGCTCAGACAAGCTCAAGGCTATGCAACCCAGTAGGTATATTGACCCATGTTCCCACAGGTCCTGCGAAAGTTGCACGTATTGAGTACTATATGTTTTGTACTTAAGAGCCTTGTTGTGGGGTCTTCTTCATGAGGAAATCCTGACGAGCTCTTCCGAATGCCGGCTTCCGTAGCTTCAGAACAGGGCGTTGGTCCGTTGCACTGAGTGGTTCCACCGTCCAAAACAAAGGAGCGTCTCTAGGGTTGGCATCGGTTGCATTGAGATTGTAGATAACGTTTGGACCTATCACTGCTTCAAATAACGTGGCTGCGTCAGAGCTAAGAGTGGCGACAGCACCATCCTTCAGAGTCGGAAAGTGTATATATTTGTTGCTGTATTTGTCGCGCACAACATGCGTGTAGCTCGCCAGTCGCGTCATGTGCCATTGACTACGACCGTCGTTGGGTTTGACTTCAACAACCTCCCCGTTTGAATTGGTACCGATGGAGAGGATATCGTGGTTAAAGTCGTCGAGAACGGTGAAGTCTGCATTCAGAGGAACCATTCTGTATTCGTACCGTAGATTATATCCATCGTTCTGAAGAAGGGAAGTCGTGTTTGAAGCCGAGGATCTCGAGTCAACATAGAGTTGGGCACTTCCCCCAGATACGAAAAGACACAACGAAAGTACAGAAAAAAGTTGCATTATAGCGAGCTCAGAGAGGAAGTATAGGTAAATCAGGGGGACTTGTAAAATGGATAGAGCAATAGCGTATACTTCACAAGAAAGAGAGGCAGTGATATAAAACAGGAGAAAGAGAAGTTAAAAGAGGGAATGACCTCTATATCCTCTTTGCCGACACAAGCCCTTTCGATGCTTCCGAGACTGAGAAGCGTGATTGTGCTTATAATTTGTGGAGCGCTGTACCCAGCAATAACTATGTGACGATGCTGACCAAACCTGAGCATGAGCACCAGCATTATCCGTCGGGGTAACAACGGCTAGTTACTCCATGTATCGGTATAAAATATAGGCCACATGTGTAAAGGATCAGCTACGCCTTTGATTCCTGGCTTCAATCATTTCACAGGATCAAAACAAGACTAAGATCTTACTGCAGTGACGGCTAGGGTATTTGATGATACTGTTGCAATGTCTTCAATAGCAAGGCAACCCATGCTACCTGAATTGCTTCCTAATATAAGTTGGAGTAACAATGTACCATATTGGGTTACAAAGTATAAAAATGTAAAAATAATAATGGCATGCTAAACAAGAATTCCATGTTATGGTTGTGTATGTTTATTGCATGGTACATTTTCCGAATTGCAAATCACTTCCGCCGAAGAATTAGGTTGGGCCCTAGTTGATAGTACGGGCTTACTTACATGACTTCGGCAACTTCCCCGGATCATCACAGGCGGGAGCAGGTCCCACACCTCGGATGAAAGCATGGAATTCCTCCCCCCTTATCTTGGGCCGGTCGTTTGGCAAGGTAGCAGGTTCTGACATTAATCTGACATGCATAAATAACCCATCACTAGCCATTAGATAGCCGTATGAACCGAAATAGATTACTCCCAGAATGGAGGTATCCCCGTTTGCCTTGTACATTGCCAATGTCAGCTGGTGAAAGCAAACACGAGATTGCTGAGATACCCGATACCCACTCATCCTAAATGCTGACAGCAGGAGATACGAGCTTCTACTCTGGATAAACGCGGCATGGTGATTTTTCTGAATCATGAACCTGGCAAGAATACCCTGCGTAGGATAGTTGGCCTAATGTTGCATCATCCTTTCATAAGAAGGCACACTGAATCTCCTAACTTCAGCTCTACCAAAATCTCAGACCATTCACCCTGGCAATCTCCTTTTGCTCTCTCCAGAAACCACTTACTAAGAATCTCAGCCACAACATGAAAATTGTACCCTTCGTTACAGCCGTCTGCGCCCTCGTGGCAAGCGTTGACGCCTCTAACTATTATACCGTCTTCACAAGCATATCCAGTGGACTCAACGTCACACTCAACGGTACCACAAACGGCATCGAGTTCGGTCCAGGCAGTCCCTGTCGCTATTGGACCCGTTATGAAGTGGCTCCTGAGATCAACGACTGGACCTACTACAGTATCCGTGCCAGGCGCGGACAAGTATACTTCCGATATCCCGAATACCGGCCTCGAGCAATCGCACAAGCTGCCTCGAAGCCATCCTTATTCCGAATTGAGGTTGACAGAGAAGGATCCTATGTCGTTGCCCTAGAGTCTGAAACTGGCGAAAAACTTGCTTGGACTGCCGAGAGAAACACGACCGCTCCCAACCGGAATATGGTCGTTAGTTTGCAGCCGTATAAACGCAGCAGGGCCCAACGCTTCAAAATTGCCGAGGAGTATGTTGACCCAGACGATTGCTAGATAATTATTGCAAGAGGGTTCTCATGCATGGTATACGGGGGCAATCATAGTGTTGCGAAGAGGGAATGCGATATTACTAGCCACATTGGAACCGTGTCATTGAACATCAATTTCAATATGAAATGTATCCATTGTTGATATTCGAAATATAAATGGGTGCATAGTCTCAGACAATTCGATGTGATTCGCCGTAGAACATTTCGTAAATGAGCACCAGCACAAAGTGCAGTTCTACAAGACACAGGGGTCTTGATATGTCAAGTAAGAACCTTCCAATTCGAAGGTAAATCATGCCCCAGTTCTAGATTACTGGCTCAATATCTAACATTGGTAGTAAAGGAGAATAATTTCCTGTTTATAGATGAATTATTAGTATGAAGTTAGCGAAATATACTAAAGTGGTAGGCTCACCGTTCATAGTCACTGCACCAACTAACGTACCCAAGGAGAAAGAGTAAACATATTTTTCATTATTTACTATTAGGGAGCCGTGACTATGTAAAGGGTTAGGCAAATAATTTGCCATACTGCCTTTGAGTGATTAGTATTTATAAATTATGAATGCAGTTAATTTAATATTCCGGTCTAATAAGACGGAATGGGTATCTTCTCCCAGTTTTTTTCTCCTTTCTTGTTGGCATCGTTGATGTCATCTTTCATGACAAACATTCGCCTTTGGCCGCAGAAACCCCCCACTGCTGCCTTTCGCTCCAGCATTTGAAACGAGCCGAGTTGATCCTCGTCGTCGCCCTGAACCCATACTTTCTCCTTGACCATCTGCCCAGGATTGTGTAATCGGCGAGGATTATATTCAGGGTAGCCAATTTTACTCACAATCCATTGAAGGTTGGCAAATATTCGTTCATATCTGCGGAAGAAACCCAGCCATACCCAGGTGTTCTCCGTATATGCAACCCGGATGTAAGGATTGACGTAAACTCCAGCACCGTTTGATTCGAGAGAGGTAGACTCCATGTCTGCGAAGATAAGGCAACATTCAGCTGCCTCCCAAAATGGCTCTGGTTCGTGGCGAAAGGTGAGTGCTAGCTCTGAATGGTTTCCAGACGATTTCTGAAAGACCTGGGCGTCGAAGGAGGCCATCCCTCCCCAGCAACTTCGGACTCGCACTGCGTCTTTCTCCGCAAGGACATCCTGCCGGCTTTCACTCTTTCCTACCACTGGGAACCATGGAAAGAACATAAGGCCCATGCCGTAACCCTCATTGTCCCTTACGACAAAGGTGTCGTAAAACATTACATTAGCGGTAAAGTCGATTGCACAGGCGGCGCGGTAGTCCGCATGGCCAGTCTTTTCGGCGTTTGTCGAGAATAATAGCTGCACGGCATCTGTAGCGGAAAAATATATATCGTTCAGGAACAGCACGCGGTCGAATTTCTCCGTAGCGTGACGGAAGCCTTTCTCCGACTCGGCTGAGGTAGGGGTGTAGGTCGCATCGAGAGGCCTAAGCGCTCGATTTCGAACTTCTGCCAGGTACGCTATCCGTTTGATACGTTGCTTGCCGCCCGGCGCCGTGGTCGTGGGCAGGTCAGACAGGCGAAGATGGTCTCCGGCAACAACCGACGAGTTACCTTGATGGTTTTTAAGGTTAATTCTCTTGTTCGAGAGTCGCGAGAAATCCAAGGAGGAGAACACGAACATGGAAGTTTATCCTGGAGCTCTATAAGCGCCTCGCTAGTTGCCTTCCCGCTGTCATTCTCGTATACACTGACAAACACATTGTCCTCCCCCAACAAGTCGACGAGTTCCAGCAGCGACGCACCCCAGGCCCCGCGTATCAAGTCTTCCCTGATGATATTTGCAGCGATGAATATCTTTTCGTTCCTTTGATTTGCGCGTCCGGGCTCTGACGAAGCGAGGATCCTTCTCTGCAGCTGTGCGTAGTGTTCAGGGGGCCGCTGGTAGGAAGGGTGAAATATGGCCTGCACCAAAGAGACAAGGACGAATCCGCCTACCAAGAAGATGAGAATCTTGAGCAGCAGCCAGAGCGTGTGAGCTGGCGAGGAAGCCCTGCAGCGAAACCGCCGTCGCTGGTGGAGTATCAGGTCGCGAAGAAGGTTCTCTAGGCAGCGGTAGCAGCGCTGGACAGTCCAGGCTCGCCGTCTCCCGTGTTCCTTTAAGCGAGCGAACGCTCTGCCGTCATCCTCGCTACCGAGGAGCAGTTCGATCTGGCTGGTCGAGTCGTCGAGATAGCCGCTCGCAGGCTCGTCCGGGCCTGAGTATGCCATGGTTGTCTGGCAGAGGACCGACGAGCAAGAGGCTGCAGGTTTTCTCCTCCTCCCGCGCGCCCTTTCGCCCTTCTAACGGGGAGCTCCCGCCAAAGTCGACGCCAGTCCGTAGAGCAAACAAACAACTCCTGGCAGGCATCTATAGGTCGCTCCCCAGCTACTTAAGGGAAGTAAACAAGGACCGAAGTATCTCCAGGCGCAAAACAGGCGGCGAGGTACTTAGTCACGTGCAGACTCTAAATGCACGTCGTAATCTCCCCCTGAAGTTCTTTTTTTTTTCTTGCTGCCAACTCCACCGAGCGAGACATCAGGACATCCAGTCGAGACGCCAGCAGGACGGCCGGACAGACAACGGCTGCGGGAAGAGAACGAAAAGGAAAAAAAGGGGGGACGAGACGGGACTGCGTTGAAGGGCGATGGCTTCCGCTGCTGGCTGGCATCTCAACATCGACTCCTACTAAACGCTACTCCAGTGTGCCCACCGTGGAACCATGGAAGAGCCAGAACTCTCACAGTCCTCGCAGCCATGCTTCGACAGCCCGCGGCAGCGACAGCGAGCATCGCTTCCTCCCAGGCCAAATGGAGCTTCTCGACATGCAAAGAGGCTCACGCTCAATTTCCCCATCAATATCCCGCCTGAGCTGGTACAGCAGGGACCTCGCTCAGCGAAAGACTCGCCCTCGGCGAAACACACGCACTCAGAATCATCACCTACCATGCCGGCTTCCCATCGAGCTTCGCCCTCGGTTTCTGCGTTGACCGAACCGCCAGATGAAGGGTACGGGTTCCTCACGGCTCTCGCTGCCCAGGAACGCAAGGTGCTGGAGCTCAAGGAGGAGCTGCACAGGGCCGAGTTGGAGCTCGCCACCCTGAAGAAACGGTGGGAGCAGAATGAAAAGGGCCGGAAGATCAACCAGGCCGTCTATCGGGCCGAAGCAATGAAGCCGTTGAGGCAGCAGACACCGGTGGAAGGAAGTCCGCCGCTTACAGGGACGGGAGCTACTCAGTCGCCGGTCGACAGTGATGCACCCGGGTTGAAGAGACGTAGCCGAGAATTGGACAGACGTCACAGCTTGAGGCAGTCAATATCGCATTCACCGCATTCACCGCATTCACCAGCTCCAGGCCAGCTGTCCAGAGCAAGAACGGTGTTCGAAGGCTCCCGGCATACTCGGACTCTGTCTCTTCTCTCCGCAAGAGACGACTACAACAGCTCTCCCTTCTCCCCCCAATCAGCCGATTCAAAAAGCGCACGACCTTCTGGCTATCCCAGATCTGCGACTCTCCCTTCCGTCGATAGAGAATCAAACGGCAGTAAGCCGCTCATCTTGTCCCCCGCGAAACAGAAATCAGTACAGGATAAAGGATTATGGCGAAGGTCTCTCCCGCCAATACCGCAAGACCCAACCACAGAGGCACTCATGCGAACAGGAAAGCAGACGGCTACGGACTTCAAAGACGGACTGTGGACGTTTCTGGAAGATATCCGTCAGGCTACAGTAGGAGAGGAGGGTATCAATGCAACCCAATCTCGTACATCGCAGGCTTATCAGCGCCAGGACCATCTTATCAACAGATCAGGTGCGGGGACAGTAAACTCCAAACCACATTCAGCAGCAGCTCCTTCGAGAACTGGCAGATCTGCATCTATCAAGCCCACTACCGCCGCCAAGCAAAATAAACGTGCAGCGGCTTCAGAAACCGACTTCTGGGAGGAATTTGGCGTCACCGCTCCAAATAAGACACAGTCAAACAAGGCTACCAATCGGAATCGCAACAAGCCAAATAATAATCCGAGCAATCAGACTAGTTTGCTAGACATCGACGACAATTGGGATATCTGGGATAGCCCCCAGCCCAAGACACACACCCCATCCTCGAGCAGCTCGACATTCCCATCCAAAAGAGACCAGTCGCCCTCGACAAACGCTAGCAGCCCACGGACCAGTGCAAGGTCAGCATACATACAGCGCCCTCCCCCCATCCTTCTATCCACCCGCAGCTAACGCTTGCTTGTGAATTAGCGTGATGGACTACAAAGATCTGGATGTTGAGACCTTCAGCAACCCCGAGCATCCAGGCGGCATCCCGTGGCCTGCCATAACCAAATCGACCCCTTCCAACCTGACACGCACAGCCTCTACCTTGATGGCTGAGTGGGAACGAAGCCTCTCACCGTGTCATTCAGACAGTGTAAAGAAAGGATCCAAAGACGACTAGATCCCTCTCTCTCACACACACACACAATCCTGATATATATCACTTTTCATTTACAACTCCCTTACCACCAAAGAAAAACTCCACGACATGACGACCATGATTGAATCATTATATATAAAAAAGATCGAATATGGGAACGCATTCTCTGTTTATTGCGCATCAACAGGAGAAGCCCTGCCATGTCTGGAAATTTATACACGAATTTATGGATCTGATATGTTGGCGTTTATCTTGATCGTATTGACAAACTGTTCCTTTTACCTACTCTGATTTCTTCGTTCTTAAACCAATTGGCCGGGTTTTGAGTCTTCTTGCTGCTCTCTATTCTCTTGTATATCGATTATTACCTTGCTTCTCTGAGCCTTGTTATTGATTTGGAGGTCTTTTAAATTAATATTCTTAACGATTTCACTGCTGAATAAATATGAAACCCAGATTGGCTTAATGGGCCCTTAGGCCAATGCAATTGTGATTAATTAACCGCCCAGCCAGTACTGTACTTTTTGCTTGAAACGCCACCCTATTCTACAAAGAGCATTATACACCCTGTAATTATCACTTTAGCACAATGTCTGTTACAACGAGGAGAATGAGCCGAGGACAGGAACAGGAGGGACAGAGCATTCAATGATGAGGTTTAGCAAAGTAGCTGGCAGTTAGGTGAAAAGGTAGGATTGGGAAAATCGGGACAAGACAAAGTATTCTGTTTCCGGCTTTCTGATAGCCGCGTCAGGGGCCCATCAGGACATATGGCAAAGTGAATGGCGGGTGGAGTGACTGCCTGCAGCTAATATTCATCAAAGCAGGCGGTCACTTCGGGTAGTCACTTCACGTAGTGATACAAGCAGTATAAACAGTCGGTAAAAGGAGGAGCGGAATACAATTTGGGGTATAGACCAAGAAGGCGTGCTACGGGGCGCAATCATAAACGCAAGAAAGTTAGGCTTAGATACCCAACCAAGGTTATTCAGGGTATTAAGGGAGAGTCACTAGATGCAATATACGCAAATTGGAAATCCTGCCAGAGCGGCTTGAACAAGGCCAGAGGAACATCTCTTACGGGAAGTGGGCTGAAGTGGAGGTGGCAAGGACGGGGTCACCATGTACACATAGTACGATACGGAATATTTTGAACAAGTTCATCCTGCATAACTATCACTAGTGTGGTTTCGAGGGGAGGGTTTCAACTCTAGGTTGAATGGATGTTACCTCGCATAAGTCGATTGCCGAAATACTACCTACCTATCTTTCCCATCTAGTTGTGACACGTAAAGCCCTTCGGTTAGAGTTATGCCTGTGATCGTGGTTAAGCCGAACATTGACAGAGTGCTGCTAAGACGTAGAGAACTACCCAGGTCTCTTCCAACCAACAGGCAGGGCTCCCCTAATCCCAAGCCTTTACCCCTTTTCAAAAAGCGCTGGCTTAGGAGCTGCAAAACGGGTAACTTGTTAGATGTAACAAGAGGCCTTTATCCCGGGGAGAGGAGGGATCTACATCATAAAAAAAGGTGATATTTTGGCCATCCATCTTGTATAGACCTCCAATTTGTGCATCCTCCGAAGCTCTTCTAAGCAGAAGGCTTGAAATTACATATACAAATATACATCGTGACTCTACTTTCTATTGGCTGTTGCCTTGTATGTTGCGTAATATTGTGTATGTTGATGACTAAGCTGATTTTTGCAATTACGCTTAACCTAAGAGGGAAATTATCCCATTAGTCATCAGCTTTAGCTCACATGACACGGTTATAGTATATTGAGATCCCTTATGTCAGCAAACTTCCGAGCTGTTTTTCCGTTGACAATAATTTTTTTTTTTACGAGGATTTGATATTGCAAGCTCTGAAGGTGAGAGCCGTTGATGCTTTAATGCTTTCATCCAACTCCTGAATATTGTCCTATTTGTTAATTTGCCTCGCTGTAATAGTTTGTCTTCCTGGTACTCTTGATTTGGCCGGAAAGTCAACTCCAACAGGCAGTACAGCTTAGCCCGGCAATAGAAACCCACCAGCCCCAAACCCCAAGGCCGAGATATAGCTATACACGATGAGTTTGCCAGGCGCAAGCGGTTCGGGGATAACCCCCGGCTTCACCAGTGCGGGGTTGCCTCCATCAACGACGGGACTAAATGAACAGGAACAGGCTATGGTTAAGATGGTGAGTTACCCTGATGGTGACGACCTTGGGCATGAGTTCAGGCGGAGATGCTGATATGTTGTTTCTTCGGGAGACAGATGACCAGCGCAATGGAGTCGTGTCCAGTTAAAACAGTAATGGCGGGAGGAATGGGATTTGCACTGGGAGGTGCCTTCGGCTTGTTCATGAGCAGTGTATGTTTCTATCCCCCCCTTTTTTCCTCTTCCCGACATCCTCGGTTCAATGGCTTATCTTGAGACTTTTCACCTTGATAGATGTCATACGATACACCTCTCACCCCCCAGGGACAACAAATCTCCTCTCTGCCGGTGCGCGAGCAACTTCGACGGGGTTTCAAGGACATGGGATCTCGATCGTATAGCAGCGCGAAGAACTTTATGGTTGTCGGTGCTCTTTTCAGCGGAACAGAATGCTGCATCGAAGGACTCCGGGCTAAAAACGACCTTACTAACGGTATTGCCGCCGGATGCATCACTGGTGGAATACTCGGCGCCAAAGCAGGTCCTCAGGCGGCTCTCCTGGGATGCGCTGGATTCGCGGCGTTTAGTGCGGCCATCGACGCGTACATGCGACAACCATCTGATTAATCTGGCTTTACCTCCTTTTCTTCACACGGGAGACGATACTCTCAGGCCGTTGATGTCTCAGACGATAAAAGAACTGCCTGAAAAAAGGGGTTCAAAAGACCCGGCCGAGTCTCCCTTTTTTTCTGACAGACTCCCTTCTCATTTCCACCACTTGATGTTGATTGAAAAAGCTGTACGATTTATAGAGGTTTGTGCGGGTGCTATTTGGCGGACTATTACAACATACAACTACCGGCGTATTACGGAGTACTTGGCGTTTATTTTGCACGGATGGGGGTCTAGGTTCCTTGGATAGACGGGTGGTCATGGCCCTTGGCATGCATACGGGAGTCTGTTGCTGTGTTTGGTCCCCAGGTTGCTTGAAGAGACGACGCTCTGGGCTGCTCCCAGCTCCCAAGGATCATGTTCTTGCCGAGCTTCAGCCAGGCTCCGTATGGCGTCCGGTTCACAAAAACACAAAACGATGGACAGGTCGATCCGCGGTCAACTCGGGCTGGCTGAACTCTGATACTATTTCATTAATGACTGGCTAGCGGTGGACACTCACCCCCAACAGCTTCTTGTCCCTTTATACGTACGCAGCGAGACCGAACGACCAGTCGACTCAACACCGGCAGAGGCAGAGAAGATCTAGATATATGTAACCTAAGATGGTGTTACAGCTGTACAACTACTTTATACTAGTGCGAGACATAATGAGTATATATATATATATATATGCATTCAGTCCACGGACAACTTCCACACCCAAACTTCAGCATCTCAACCTTGCAAGCGACGCCGGACAAATCAGGGCAAGCAGCCAAACAGGCCATGTACTCATCTTTCGGCAACTTTCTTGCAAAAAAGAACTACAAAGAAAGCGAGCCATCCCGTTCGCTATCGGCCGGCAGGGATGTCTTGATGTTATTCTGGACCCTTGGCGGTGCTGTTGACGCAAACATACGTCACACTAGGCCAGTTCAGATAGCCATCGTCGAGCCAGTGGCGCATCGCCAGTCTCCAAGCAGACAAACACAGGATCTCCGTGTGCTAGGGAAACGCTGTGCAATTCGTGCGGATTTTGATTCCCACTCTGCGATGGAGCTCGGTTGCGCTCACTTCTGGGGCCTCCGCAGCTTCCGCTTCACCTTGCGAGATTCCAGTGCGGAGTCTAGAGTGATATCACGGAGTATTACGGGTGCAAGCAGAGATCGCAAACCGCTCAGTTTCCAGACCAAAAAAGGAGAACAGCAGTCGGGCCCGGACAGCATCTAGCTAAGATAGCCTCATTCTGTCCCTTTTCCACCGTTCCGCTGATCATCCATGCGCCCATGCCTTAGGGGGGCAAACCCAACAGCGTCTGCAAGCCCAGGAGGGTGGAAAGCAGGGCCGTCGAAAATTTAGTAATATCTAGCTCTTATAGACCGGGAAAATCCCTTGGCTGGTCTAGATAGTTACACGGTCTGATCATCCGGAAGCACACAAGGTAACTAAAGAAAAATATATATGGATAGCCCATATCCGCCCTGAGCTTGTGAACGGTGGTGAGAAAGGTGCGAGCAAGCTCGGTGACCTGTGAAGAGACTGACCATCATGTTGCAACCGGGTTTGAGGACAGCGTTCAGGTCCCTGTTGAGCTTCATCAGGGACCTCTTCTCCAGAGGACCGTTCGCCTTTATTGTGAAACGCATCCGGGCATATCTGGCCATGGATAAGGTACGCTGCCAACCATCTGATGGCCGTCATCCCTGTGCTACGTGCTGACTTCTTCTTGTCGGATAATCAGTCTTCACATTCCTCACCGCTAGGACTGACTGAGATCATAAATCGAGAGCCGCCGGTCAAAGAGCTTGTGTCTAGGTATGCACTATTGTTTTGATATACTTCTGTTGGCGGTGTTTTGCAGGATATACCATGCAAACCCCTGCTCAGTGCTTGTCGCTCGTATTCCCCTCCCCCATGCAACAGGGTATATGATTGGCGACTTTATTCTCCGGAGATCAGGCAGCTAACCGCTAGTTAAATCCACAACAGCTTCCTAACGACGAAAGGTGCCTACCATCGAAACCACAGTGTCATTCCACAGCTAGACGGGACAAGGCATTTCATCACCGTTGATGGTGAAGTCGACAAGCCGTTCACGCTCTCTGTATCACAACTCCGAAATGATTTTGAACAACATGAAGTCATTTGTGCAATGCAATGCGCAGGGAATAGGCGCCATACTATGCGAACGAAGCTGAAAGAAGTACATGGCGTTGACTGGACCGATGGAGCTGTCATGAACTGCAAGTGGAAGGGCCCGCGACTCAGAGACGTTTTGATGAAAGCACAACTCAAGGACAAGGACCCGGAAAACAGCTTATTGCATGTCGCTTTCGCCTGCTTTCAAGCATCCTGTGAGGATGACGACTATTACGGTGTGAGCATTGAGTTGTGGAGAGCCATGAAGATGAGCGAAGAAGTTATTTTGGCCCTCGATGTATGAGGAACCGCCCATTGTCAACCCCCGGTAGCTCTTTTGACTGACTGTTCTTTAGATGAACGACGAGACCCTGCTACCCGAGTATGGCTTCCCCGTCCGAGTAGTGGTACCAGGAGTTGCCGGAGCAAGATGGGTGAAATGGCTCGATCGAATAACGGTACAAGGAGATGAATCTCCCAATTTTTACCAGCAGCATGATTACAAAGTCCTCCCTCCAGAGGCTACTACGTGGGAAATCGCAGAGAATTACTGGAGTACCGTCCCCTCAATCCAAGAAATGCCCGTGAACTCAGTTGTTGCCTGCCCAGATGACGGAGAAACCGTCAAATTATCTTCCGACGGCTGTATCGAGGTTAAAGGATACGCTGTCCCCACTGGTAGCCAAGGACCGGTTGTTCGGGTGGAAGTCTCGGCGGATGGCGGAGAGAGCTGGGTTGATGCCGAACTACAAGACGACAAGCCGCAATCCAAATGGACCTGGACTTTATGGAAAGCCAGGGTCAAGGCTGAAAAGGGGGAAGACAAAACAATATACAGTCGCGCCACTGATGCAGCAGGAAACACACAACCAGAATTTTCGCAATGGAATATTCGCGGCGTAACATACAACGGCTACGGTGCATCCTGGAATGTCAACATTGTTTAAAGTGGCGGGAGTTAAATTTCTTTCTTCGTGCTTGTTGAGCAAGCGAACTCTCTTTTCTTTTCTAACGAGTGGTTTCTCCAAAAGGTAGCGTTGGTGGGTTTTATGACTTAGCTCTGTTTAATGTTGATGTCAAGCTCATATCCGGGACCATGGGGCTGCCCATTAATCCCCTTTTATTCAATAGTACATAATGATGATCTATATTGCTTAACGCCGCTATCAAGTACACATATTATCATGCTTGTGTAATATATCAAATCACGGCAGCACTATATACTTTTCCAAATGTCGGGGTATAGCGCCTCGAAGATTTTTGCTCTTCAACCACTTATCAGAGAACAATCGGTCCGCATATCGATAGGCACCATCACACAGCATAGTGACGACAGTATGTCCCTTTCCGAGCTTCTCCGCAACCTCCTTTGCAGCAACAACATTGAGAGCAGAGCTGGCACCCAAGTATAGGCCTTCTTCATCAAGACAGCGGTACACCATCTCAATACTCTTCTCGTCACTGATGTTGAGTGCTCCGTCAACCAGACCGATATCAGGTTGCAAGTTATCTGTTACACGGCCCTGACCGATGCCTTCCGTGATACTGCTACCAGTACGCTCTATGAGAGTGCCTCCACTTGTAATGTAGCTGTATAGCACACTTCCTGGAGGATCGGCGAGGAAGGACTTCACCTTGCCGTCACTAACAGTCTTCAAATACCTAGTAACTCCCGCCAGAGTACCACCGGTACCCGTAGCGCAAGTAAAAGCATCGACTTTCCCTTCCGTCTGCGCCCAGATTTCAGGACCGGTGGTTTCAATATGGGCTCTCCGGTTAGCGATATTATCGAACTGGTTAGTCCAAACGGCGTTTTCAAGAGATTCAGCGTGTCTTCGGGCCTGGTGGTTGTAGTTCTCTGGGTTGTCGAATGCAACAGCAGGTACGGGGTAGACTTCTGCGCCCAGAAGTCTTAACAGGTCGATTTTGCCTTGGGACTGCGTGTTTGGCATGTAGATGACTAGCTTGTACCCCCTTGATCGACAGACATGGGCCAGGCCGATTCCGGTATTTCCTGCCGTTCCTTCAACAACAGTGCCACCTGGTTTAAGTAGTCCTCGCTCTTCGGCGTCTTTGACCACGAACAATGCAGCCCTGTCCTTGACGCTTCCGCCGGGGTTTTGGAACTCGGCTTTTCCTAGGACGTTACAGCCGGTTTGTTCGGAGAGGCGATTGAGGCGAATCAATGGGGTATTCCCGATCGCTGAGACCCATATTCATTAGTTCTGGGTGCAAAAAAACAATCCAAAAAAGTACACGATCCCATTCACTTACCTCCAGTCAGGCCCTTCACCACACCCTGCGCCTTGGAGACCCCGACGCCATAGGTGTTCCTTGCTTCCATCTGAGCGGCTGTCTCGGCTGCCCTCAGGGCCGTAGAGGTGAACGTCCGGACCCCCTTTCTAAACATGATGACTAGGTAATATATAAATATGTTATTAAATGGTAGAAGAGGTTGTCAATTGAGAGAGAGAAAAGCCGAGCGGTCATTCTCATCTTCGGGAGTTAACGGCGGAGGAGAACCGTAGTTTAGTTCCGATTAGTCAGAAGTAACCATACAGTTATGGCGTGATTAGTTCGTCAAGCACATAGACAGCGAAATACCAACGTTTTCTTAGACAGATATCAATGCAATGTAAATAAAACCGGGGCATTAATTTGAGGCTCTAGTTTATCCTCGATGCAAACCTGCGAGGGAAGTCTGTGTTTCCATATTGGGCAACACCGCGGCACTCGGATGTACACTCCGAAAGTGGACTAGCGTTACCGCGCTTATCTTATCGCGTGTTTGTTTATTTCATCCCGAAGAGGAAAAACTGACAACCAAAAAGACA